TTTTGATGGGGTTGGTAAAAACACGTGGCAATGCCCAGTAAATAAGACGTCATCTCGTGAATTATTAAACAGGGGGCGGTCCGAGGAAGGTGACCTTTTATCACGATCAAAACATCATGGCTTCTCTTCGATGTATTTTTCAATAAAAAATCTACGAGTATTTCACAGCCTATGGTTTACCGTGAAGAGTACAAAGTGGGATATTAAATTATTTATCCTTGATGATTTTTATGTAGTATTGAGAACCAACTCCAGGAAGCGAACACACAATAATGATATTTGATATTTTTTTATTAGACGCATAAAATCCTTAGGAAAGGATAAAAAGGGTCTTACAGAAAGAAATTAAAAAAAAAAAACACAAAAAACTACAATCTAAAAAAGAAAACAAAAAATAAAAACTTTTCTAAAAAAAAACAAACAAAAAAACAAGTCAAAAACAAAAAAATACAATTTGCAGCCAATGGTGAATACAGAATATAGAATGAACACAAAATGTGGCCTAATACACTGATAGTTGTTGCTGTTTTATGTTCCATAGCTGTTTTTTAAGAAGACAGCTAAGGCTGGTGCTAGAGTATGGTTTGCCATAATCAAAATGAATTTATTCTGACTATTTTCTTTATCAAAATTTGGAATTTTATTTTGTGCAGTCAGGAATAATTTGTCCCTATGGTGACTGTAAGCTGGACATTTCATTACAAAATGTTGCTCATCCTCAACTATATGAATAATCGCGTAATCCTAGAATCGAAACGCGAGGCACAGAAGTTTTGTTCATCCTTTCCAATCCAATTTTTCCCATTGCAACATATTTGTTAAAAGAAATATTTGAATTCTGTTCGTTTTTTAAGGAGGCATTTTTTTTATTTTTTCCGATTTTGGCAACGCCTTATTCAGGGATTTTCTAAGACAGTCGCAGACAATCAGCGCACGGATGTACGTTCAAAACATGCTGTTGTACTACCGGCGACGGTCGCTTGCAAGAAGAGAGCTCCAGCTTCTAACGTAAAAGTTTTAAAATTTAGACCGGTTTTAAATAATTAGTGTTGGAAATCTGACATGTTTTAAGAGTGCAAAATTAAGGTGCATTTTCGAGCGGTCAAATTTTTCTGAATAGAAATCGGCAAATGAAAAAATAGGAGTGCTAAACAGTGTGCTTCGTTAGTTTAAAAAAATGGAATGTCCGTCAAATTGACGTAAATTTCCCCATTTTTCACGGAAAAAGCAAAGGTCGTGGCCGAGGTGCAGGCTAAAAAACTCAAAAATCAAAACAAAATCATCAATCAGTAAGTATTATGACAAGGAAAACAAAACATCAGACGCGGAGAAGCGGTCAGCGCGTCAAAAGAG